AATATGCCAATAAAAAATTGTTGAATAATAAAAAATATAAAATGTTGACATTCATTGACATGTACAGAAAAAAATAACATTGAAGAAGAATATGATATTTGCAACATTTGCTGATGACACTTTAATAATTTCATCCGCTACAAACTCAAGTTGAAGATCATCTAAGAAAACCTTGATTTAATGTAAAAAAAAAAATGCATCGTGTCATATAGAGAAAAGTTTCTAAAATTAATTATCTCGATTTATGTTCAACTTTTATTATTCAAAACTAAAAAATGTAAAAATAAGAATTTTTTATCACAAAATATTTTATATTTTTTGAACTAAATTATGTAATTTAGAAAAAAAAATCATTGATATTATAGAAATCATAAAAGTGTGATTTAATTTAAAAACTATTAAAAGTAACTATAAAAATACGTTATAAATTAATTTAAAATCTGCTTGACAACAGCTTATCAACTTATCATTGAATAAAAGGTTGTAAATCACTGCCTTCAAAAAAAAATGATTAATTGATATAAATTAATATTATGTAACAGAGACAAATTTGCTATTTGGTACTTTCCTAATACAGTGAAACCTAGCTTAGCGAGCACCTCGCATAACAAGCATTTCGCTTAAAGTTATATCAATTAAAGAACAAAATTGTAAAATAAATGACTCGCTGAACGAACGACGATGAGAAGAGAAGTACCGGATTGCGCGTCTGATACATTATTTTTAAAACTTGTGTAGACATATTATGTGTATTTTTTAATATATTTAATTATACGAGTAAAAATTGAGAAATTCCACTGAATTTTGAACCTTGAAAAGAATATTTTTATAAATTTTCTTTCTTTTCTTCAGTGAAAACTTTATTTAAAAAGCATTGACATATTAATAAAATACTAAAAAAATAAATTGTAATTTTATTAACTCGCAAGGAATAATATGCTTACAACATAATTTAAAGTACATATTTGGAATTAGACATAATATGAATACTTAATCTGTGAGAAAACAAGATATATAATGAACATACTAAATAAAATGAGAATCAACAATTCGTGCCGCTTTCATCCTTGAAGTGAATCAATAATGATCCAAGAAAATAAGTTGTGAATCTTGTACTCAATGCTAATGATCTCTTATTAAAATACTTATAAAATAGATAAATATTTTGAAATTTATAAATATTTTTTTATTGGATAAAATAAAATTTTATATAAGACATTATTATTTTAAAGAAATTTTCGTTTAATTAATTCATATTAATTTTATAACAAAATAATCATGATTGTTTAAAAACTAGTAAAATATATAGCACACAAGCTTCGATCAGTCCGGATTTATTATAATAGTCCAGTTTGAAAATTTCAAAACCAACTAAATTTTAAATGAACAAAATAATACTACATAAAAGTCTCTTTTTTTTCGATTAGTCGGGTTTCAAATAGTGCGGAATCGATTACCCGTACTATAGGAAGTATTGCACTTATTTGGAAATTATGAATTATAAATTGTAAAAAAACTTTTGTGAATAGCAGTAGATAAAAATATATTGTGCAATATAAATTATAAATAGAAGTGATTATTTCCAAATATAAGCTTTGTTTTCAACATGTATAAATACGTTTAAAAAAAGAGCTTTATTATATAATTGCGTTATGTAAGAAAAAAGTAGCGGTAAATTCGGAGTCTTCTTCTAATTACAGTGATTACGTTGCAAAAGTTATAAACATAGAGTTTAGGATTGTGCAACACCTCGTTCACAATATTTGGTGCATGAGTGGACCTCTGATCTTTGCATCTTAATAGTAATTGAAGTGATCGAGAAAAAAAAGTGCAATTATAAGAAAATACACAGTTATAAGTAAAATGCGCAGTTAAAGTATTGAAATGTGCACTTATAGGAAATTGTGCAGTTATAGGAATCCCCGTCGTTCCAATTCCGAAGATCGAAAGCGAAAATAGTAAAACAGAAGTTCTTGCAAGAGCGTTTAATGTTCGAATGGCGTTTTGGAAACGCGAAGAATAAGAAGAAGATGCGTCTCCCATTAAATCACAATCACTTTCCAAAGACTTGTGTACGTTTACGTATGTTTATTTTTTTTTTCGTTTGGTTTTGTTTGTTTATTTGTCTTGTTACGTCTTACGGCTCATCAATTTGAATCCACTATTTATTTCGTACCGGCAATTCAATTCACTTTCATCACACTTATTTGTACACAAGAGCAAAATAATTCTACCTTCAAGGCATTTCTTTGTCTCTCTCTCTAATTCTGTTTCATCCTCATCGACAGTCGCATAATTCTCACGCTCCGAAAATTGAGCTTAATCTTTATTAGTTCAGGATTTTCCATCAGATTATAAATTTATCTCAACTCGAAGAGCTCAACCCTTCGAGCATTTCCAATAAATGGTGAAAGTGGAACAATTTCAGGTGCTCTCGAATCTACATATTTATACATTATTTTGACCTTATCGCCACCTTTTGAAACGGTCGCATCGTGAAGTAAAAGTCGTCATCCTGCGCCTACGCCTGATCCTTTTTCTTCCTCCTCTCTGATGTGAAGAACCAACATAACAACAACAACAAAAAACTCTAAACAATTATAGCGATTCTTCGTTAAGGATGTGAACAACCGATATTATTCTTCTGTGTGAGATCAACGTGAATTCACAATAATCTCCATGCGATCGACGCTAATGAGTTAATAATGAAACGATTGAAAGTTTAAGTGCTGCCGAGGAGAGAAAAAGAAAAATGTGGGAATGTCGTCGCGCTAGGATATCCTTGATGCGCGCCGTGATGAGAAACCGTTATTAGTTCTCTCTTCTTTATTTTTTTACTCATATACAAATGAAAGGATTCACTTTTTTCGAGAGCAGCAAAAAACAATAACATTAGTAAAAAAAATATCAATCATTCACTTGACATTTCGCGTCACGTAACCTTCAAAAATCTGGCACCAAAAAAATATCGTAGTGGAAATAATACACATCGAAAATTGCATCTCGCTGATTTGCGTACACATTGGAATGGCCCAATTACGTAACGCAATTAAATGCCGAGATTCTCTAGAATTCAACCTTCGTTCTGCGATGGATGGGATGATCGTAGCCGGATCATAGCTTAACGAAGGTAACGCGAGTTGCATCGGAGAGATATAGATCTTGTAATTTAGCCTCAAGTCCAGGACTAATTAGGTATTTTAATTAACCTAAATAAATAAGACAGAAGACAGTTCTATAGAAAACAATTAAACTAAATAAAACTTATCTTAAAGGTATCGCTAAATTTGTAATTGTAATGGTTAATTCCTTATTTACATTGCAAAAGTAAATATAAAAATAACGTCCTTTTATCAGGAAGTGTCCTTGGATTTACGATTTATATTATTTGCAAATATATTAAATTGTTTTCTCGTGTTTCCATCTTCGGATTAACGTTTATCTGAAGGTTACGCTATCAATTTAAACGGAAATATACTGCACATATTATGAAAAACAAATTTTAAATACAAAAAAGTTTTCTTCTATTTTCAACTTAATAATTTAATATTTTTGATCTTGGTAGGGCAAGACAATTTTTTTAGTTGAATTTATATTATATTTCTTTATTTACGTTAATATTTATTTATTAATATAAAATTAATTATTTCTCTTCAAGGTTTATATTTTTTCATTCATATATTTTTTTTATATGTTATGTATATTTCTGGCCAATAAATTATGGTTTAAATTTATTTAAATATTATAAAATCAAATATTATTTACAAAAAAACATTTTTAATTCCAGGTATTCCCATCACGTTACTAACATTAATCTGTAGGTTAACTACCAATTTACAATTTAATAAAATAAGAAACTAATTATAATAATAGATGCATTACAATTATTTAACAATTCAAATGTAATTGTTTTCTCATCTTTTAATTAATAACAAATAAATAATTGTGTTCTTATATTTTCATCTTTGGTTATATTTTTAGTTCAAAATTAAAAATAAATAAAAAGTAAACTGGACAAATCTTAAGACATAATCACTTGATTTTAGATATTTGTTAAATTAATTTAAATTATTATTATTAATGTCATTTATATTTAATTTTATAGAAAATGAACGACAATAAACTCATGTTATTTTTAATAGTATTTTAATAGAAATTGTTATTTTTCTTAGTATTTCCATCTTGGGATTAACCTTAACCTGGGATTAGATTAAAAATTTAAATGAAAATCAATTTAACAAAATAATAAATTCTAAGACAAACTATATGAATTTTATATTGCACCTATTCCCCGATTTACACGGTAGATATATTTATGAGAAAAACGTGTTTAATGGAAATTGTAACTTTAAATCATGGCCAGTTTATTTTGAACATTTATTTTTAATTTAAATGTTTTTTAAACCATCTAAAAGCAAAAACGTGTAAAAAAAAGGACCGTGTAAAACGAGAAACAGGTTATTTTGAACATTATTTGTTTTTAAACAGTGTAAAAGTGAGAACGTGAAAAGAAAGTACCTTGTAAAACGACAAAAATATTTTATCTTTTCTCTTATTATTTTCCTATATTTTTCTATAATTCGATTTATTTGTATACAATTTTAATTAAACATAAAGATAAAAGTCAAAGGATTAATAATCATTTGTATTCTATATCAACTATCACTTGTTTGAATGCTAAATTTATTGAAACATTCACAGAAAAACAAATAAACGTAATTATATAATAATAATAAAAGAAGAAAAAAAATAACTGTTACAAAGGGCTATTGACTACAACAATTTTAATTGATTATTTGAATACTAAATTTTTTTTAATATTTAAAATTCGTGAATTGTATTTGTTATTTATTTGAAAACAGTTTTACAACCTGGGGCTTCGCACGCGTTTGATCATTGTACCCGAAGATGATGTACTATTTTTATCTAATGATGAAATTTATATCTATAAGCTGATGTAATGCTCACGGATTATATAGAAGGATTAACCAGAGTTAGTGCGTTCCGTGTAAATGCAAAACTTATTGTATTTTCTGACAACAACTGACATGTCTGCTATATAAGCATGTTATAATTGTGATTGATTCAGTACAGATACAAACACAATGTTATTTAAAACTACTATTGTTTTCGCAGCATTAATCGCCTTTCAGGTAAGATTCTTAGAAATATAATCGAATATTCTCTTCCAAAATTACCATTCTTAGGGTGCATCTTCCTACCCTCAAAATGCGGAAGAAGTGCGCGGTTTGATCGCCAATTTCCGTGATGCTTCAAACGAAGCTATGCACGAAGGTGGTGAAAAACTGAAACCTTTAGTAGAAAACATCGAAGAGTCTTCCAAAACAGCTGAAGAGAAAGCTCAAGGTATCATTGAGGAATCCATTAAAATCGCAAAGGATGAGGTTGATCTTAAGGAGCAAGAAGCCATAAAGGAAGGAGTTAATGCCTCTGAATGCGTTAAAGCTGCTAATGGAGAACTCGCAACTTTATTGGTACGTCTCACCGATGAGGTTAAGAACTGCGGATCAAATGCGCGCCACGAAAGCACTGGTCTTGTATTTGAGGTCTTGGATACTTCTGGAAGCGAAGCCTACTACAGACGTGAAGATTACTACCACAAAATGGATGCTTGCATTGATAAAGAGAGTGTCCCTTGTTTGGTTGATCTTAAAGCTATTATCGCAGAAGACACCGAACTTTATCCCAAAGAGCTTGTGGAACGTTTCGATGTAACAGCAAATTCTCTTGGTAACATCGAAGATGATATGAACGAATGCATCGCACACACCGAAGACGCAGTTTCCGTTCAATGCGAAGAGTATCTCAGAGAATTTAATGAATGCATCGAAACCAACAAAAATTAATGAAGTGATCTATTATGTAAATTAAAATATCTTATTTTCTATTTAAATAAATAACATATTAATATAATTCTTCATTAATTAAAATTATTTTATTTCCTTCCTAAAATAAACAATAAATAAACTCTCATTTGTTTTATATTCATATTAGTCGGATTAAACTTTTAGCCTACAGTAAAACTTTTATTAGCACTTAATATGCGTTTTGACAAGCGCAAAACGAAACAGCTTTAATCGAGGTTTTATTGTATTTATTAATAATAACAATATGTCATACAATTATTACACACATAATTAGATAAAAAAGCTGTGAAATAAAATATGAATCATTTCATGGAGATATTGTCTATTATCAATTATTTAAAAATATATATATATATATATTTTTCCTTTGTTTAATATAATGTAGCTTCTAGAATCTACAGCAGGCATTTTTTTTTTATATTTTGCTAAATTTCATAAGATACAATACTTTATTTTCCATAAAAAAAAATATGTTTACGATAAATTATTTCTATTTTTAGAAATGCTTTTACGTAAATCCGTAAACAACTATTAATTCTATAAATAGTTCATTACTCAAATAACGCAATTTTCAATATAAACTTCAGAATATAAATTATAGGATTAACGCTACAGACAAAAACAAGTCATCCATTTATTACGTTGAAAATCTATGTAATAAAATATATTATTTTGTAGGTTTTATATATTTAGTATTATATTTATATAATATGTCTAGAATAGTTTGCAAATTAATTTTCAATATTTTTAAAGAAATAAAACAATAGTTTTAAAAATATATATATATACAACGAAATGATAAGTTCCAAGTTATTAGTAATAAATGCACTTTTTCTTGTCTATTTATCAAATGAATATCTTATTATCTTATATGATTAAATGAGTAAAAAAAACGCAAATTTCCCTATATATTATTTCCACAGACTCATTGAATCATCCATAAAATACATTCGATCATCATGTTATTAAAATCAATTGTGGTTCTTGTGGTCTTAGTTTCTTGCCAAGTAAGTTAATAATGTTATGATTTATTTTATTGCTTTAATATTTATAAAATATAGGACGCTTTTGGTTCTTCTCAAAAAGCTAATGAAGTTAGAACTATTATCACATTGCTTCGAGAAGCAGTAGAGGACGCTCGTATTCAAAATTTTCAAAACTATGTAGGTTTGATAACTAATTTCTATTTGTCTAACGTCAAAGATGAAAAAAAAGGAATACAAAAAATTCGTGAATCCATAAATAATGCATACTATGATCTTCTGATGTTAGAAGAAGAAGCAATGCAGGATGGATATGATGTTACTAAATGCAAGGACGATGCGGTGACAGAACTTCTATATTTTCTGAATAATATCATGAGTGATGTTAATAAATGCTCTGAAAATGCTGAAAACAAAACAAATACGTTGTTAGAAAACATGTTAGAAGATTCTAACCTGGAAGCTTCCAACAAATTCGATGATTATTATCTCCAAATGGATTACTGTATTTCAGAGGAAAATGAAAGCTGCTTCAACGATCTTTTCGTTGCAGTTAACTCAGAAATTAAAGTATATACTAAGACGCTTCAGAAACGTTTCGATTCTATAGAAGAAATTATAAGTGTTTACGAAAATAACATGAGAAAATGCCTCGACAAAATTGGCATCGATGCTTCCATGTTTACTGAAGATTTATTAAACGATATGGACATCTGCATTGAATCACAAATGATGCATTATATACTACGTGAATAATTATTTTATAGAAATTCTAAAACATTACCTGTATTTATTATAATTATATTAAAAAAATGTATGTTTCTCAATAAATAAATAAATATATACATATAAAATATTTGGCTTCTTTAATATATACTTTTTTATGATTTAACTTTGAATATAAAATATAGTCTTAATTATAACTTCGTTAGTATATTGTTATTAAATGTATAAGTACACCTCGGTTAACGTTAACTCAGAAGATAACCAAAAGATTAGTAATCCACATATATCTATGAATATGTTGTCGAAGTTGTTGTTAGATGCAAATTATTACGTTGTTTTCAGTGAAATATTGACGAAACTTTGTTAACAACAAAATCAAAGAAAATGAAGACGAAACTAAAGAAGTTACTTGTGAAAAAACTTTTCTTTGGTCGAAAAAAAAAATCATTATTTTTACTCAGAAATTATCCCCATTTTAGCCATAGTGCTTTTACCTCCAAGTTTCGCTTAAATAAATAATATGATGGAATGTATCCAATTTGTTAATCGAGGTTTAATTATATTAATACAATAGAACAGTCATATTTATTCTAAGTTCAAAAACTTACCTGTACCGTTTTGCTACTGTTAACTTTGATAAGAGATTCGCTTTTTTTATGGTCAGAAAATATTTGGTCAAAACGACCAACAAATTCTATATATTATATTAAAACAATAAATTTAATGATTCACCAAAATACTTTATTCTTTTTTTTGTAAATATTATTCATATTTATACAATGTTCATATTTACGCATATATATTGTCACTAACTTACATTAATACACATGAATCATAGAATTTTATCTGATTTTCTAATCTAAAATATCTTACGAACAATAGAACAAATTAATTATGTTTAAAAAAAAACAATACTACTTATTATTGTTTAGGCACAATTATTTATGTAGACGATAAAGGTTTGGATTTTTTAAAATAATTAACAAATAAAAAAAAACTTCCTAACTTATTAAGAAATATGGATTAAAACAAATAATAAAGAGATAATTAGAAATACTTTTTGATATTAATTAAATATTATTAATTGTAAAAGAATTAACCGAGCAAACCTATGGTCAATAGCCCTTTGCAGCAGTTTCATTTTATTTTTGTTATTATGTTAAGTTTATATTTTGGAATTTGTTGCAAATATTATTATTATTGAGAAAATTAACTTCAATTTATGAGATATACAAATTAGGTTTTTGAAAAACGCTAGTTGACTCGTACATATTGACGCATCGACAAATAAACATAACTGAAGAATTGTCCGAAAATTGAAAGTTTTTAATGTTGACGAAAGATCAACTTTTTGTTAAATAATAAATGGTGAGGAACAAAAAAACTTGCAAAAACTAATAGATAAGCATATTCATAACTTTTTTACTCACTTATGTATTAGCAAGCATTTAAGACTTTACTAATATTTACTTTTTTTGATAAAAAATGTGATTTATACAAATAAAACTGATGCAATCATTATGGTATTGTCATGTTTCTTTCTAAAAAAAACTAAAATTATTGTTTAAATCAGCAAAAAAAAAGAAACAGTATTTGCAAGAAGACAAGCAGTAAAATTGTATTGATGCAAATATTTTTAAATTGTTTCCACATGTTTCCAGCTTTTAAGTTTTTGTATGTAAGTTTGTCATTGCTAGTCAATTTTCTGTATTCTCTGTAATCATTTTAGACGTAAGTTAATTTATGTGTTTCTGGAATAAAAAAATATCTCATTAATTAATTAGATAAAAAAAAGATTTTTTTTCTTATTTTAAATTTCAAAATATTTTTATTGTAAAAAACAAAAATTACAATAAAATAAACACTCAATACAATAATTAAATTTAAAATTCAACTGCTGCAATTACAAATATATTTTATTAATAAATTTAAACTAATACATTTTATTTTTTAAGACAGTGTTAATTTAATTGTATATAATGAATAAAAAAACATATTATATTAATATATAAAGTTTAGTAGTTACACATTAAAAAAAAAATTGTATGAAAAAGAAAATAATGATTTGCTCAATTATTTATTGTGAGAATATGGCAGATGATAATTGAAAAATAAAATAATTAAAATTAGAATTAAAAAAGGAAAGTACCTTCAAAGTAATTGAATTTAGATATACTAGCAAGACATCACTCTATTAAAGATTTGTTGTGATCTGCTATCAGTATTGTTTTTCATATCTTCGATGCAGGTTGTGAATTGATCTTTTTGATTTGTAATTGATTTTATTGCCACATTAAAGAGTCTCGTTAATTCACTACGGTACTGCTGAATATCATTGTTAATACCTTCGAAAATATTATTCAAACACTTCTCATCATTATCTTTAATGCATGTTGTCATATGTTTATTATAGTCATCGCGTATGATGAAAAATTGATGTTTGGAAATTTCGTTCAGTTTAGGTGAATTGTTGATGCTGGTACGACGACTTTGGGAAATGCATTGATCAACAAGAGCCGTTGAATGCTTCATTTCCATTTTAAGAAGTTTCCTCACTGCCTGACAGCATTTTGCAATATCAATTCCTTTGCCCTTCGATTGATTTTCAAAAGTATTGACCTGCGTGATAGTCTGTTTGTAGAGTATTTCGATAAATTCCCGACCTTCTACGCCTTTTTCGACAGTATAAGTATGAACGTCGTCTAATAAGGGATTCAGTACGTCGGTACCTTCCAACATTACGTTTTGTGTTGACTCGTACAAATGTTGTAACTTTTTCCTTAATTCATTAGCTCGTCGGGTACTTATGCTCTAGACATAATAATATTAGAAGATTAATTTAAAAAATATATTTCTTTACTTACTTGTGAGTCAACAAAACTCCAAAGGAGAATTACTACTTTTAATAGTAACATGATGGAAAATAACAAGATGTTTTCACAAATAAAACGAAACGAAACCGTGGATACTATAAGCTGTTGTATTAAAAACTTTAAAATCACTCGTCGTTAAGATAACTTCAAATGTTTGAAGAACATACAATGGAGGTCGAAAGAAACCTTCTGAGAAGTCTGTTTACGGCGAAGGGACGAATTGTAAAGAAACCAGCCTTAACCAGCACTAGAAATTGTAGCTGTAAATAGAAAATTAGGTAAACCGCGTCAGCAATGCTGCCAACTCCACAAGCTTCAATAGCAAAATCACTACAATGTTATATGCCTAATAAAAAGTAAATGAGAGATTGTTAACAAAGTTAAACTCTCTTGGTTTTTGTAGTACGACGTCCATGAGACAATTTAATTCTTTTCTTAATACCAATATTTATTTCTATTAACCAACTCAATTATTTCAACACATTCAATTTATTTTAAGGTAATTTTCTTGTCTATCGTAATTTTTCAATCACATTAATACGCTTACAAGCTTACTAATTCCCCAATATAATATAGTTTTGATAATTCTTTTAAAAATATATGTTTACACACAATAAATTGAACTTATTCACATAAATTATTAATTTTATAAATCTTTTTCTAACCATTGTTTTTTTCTCTATCGCTCATTTTTTAAATATTTGTTATTACGTTAACTTAAACAAATACTACACCACTTTATATACAATATTTCGGTATAAAGGAGGTTGGGAAGTTCTCGAATTTGTAGAAAAAAAAATAACCATAGTGGTGACATCTGTCGACTAACAGACAACTTAAAACATTTATTCGCATTGACGTGATCCGCGTAATTCACGTCTTCGCAAATGAGAGTATTACTGTATATCACTCTATTAAAAGCCTTTAAGTTTTTTGTAAGTTTTTTTTTCAGAATTTTGTATTTATTTTTAAAAATAATACTGTTTATTTAAAAAAAAAATTTATTTTTTTAGTCTATAACTTGTAACTTTACTTTGAATTAAGACACCGGTTAATTGGCAAAGCCGCTTATTAAGGACAAATCCTAAAGAACGAAAACAAAACCGAAAAAATAACAAAAAAAAAAAAAATTTGAAATATTTACTTCACTTTTTAGTGACGATATTTCATTTAATCTGGACAGTAATCATCTATTAATTAACGTGGATTCACACGTTAATATTTTGCGCTGGGGTTCTATTTGATATCATTATGTACAAGCGTATGACTTGAGTCCTCTCAGCAATAAATATCTGCACTGATTCTTGCAAAAAGAAAAGGCAAACCAGTTTATACTTATTTTTCTATAATACATAATTTAACTTAAGTTTGAACAATACAATTTTTCTTTCAGAATTTATTAGAATATATTAATATTTCAGAATTTATCATTATCTATTTTGTAGTACGTATATAATTTTGAATATAAATGCATATGTATAGTTTTGTGACTTGTTTTATTTTGTGCAATTTATTAAATAAATTATTAGAAAACACTAATCATGTAATGTTTGTGTAACTTCTGATATTTGGGCCAACTGCTTAATCGGGACAAAATGTACTGGTCACCTGTATTTTCAAATGAAAAACTTAATTGAAAAAAAAACATAATTAAATATTCGTTTAATTTTCAATAATTTATTTAAAAAAAGATATAACAATTATGTTAATTAAATTTTTATAAGTTTTATCAATTATAATTAGTAATTTTTGTATTAGTATGATAGTTTAAGCAATAATTTAAAATAATAAAAAAAATCACTTATTTTTAGTCATTTATTGAAAAAAATTATTAAACATATCTATATAATCATAATAATATAAAAAATGTGAACATGAGAACATTAATTATATAATGGAAAAGCCTATAAATTAAAGAAATGAGAGAATTAAGTTCAATTTATGAGAATAGTTAAACAATTTTAACATATACATTTCTCTCGACGATTGCAATTTTTGATTTTTTCTTAAACGTACATTTTTTTTAGCTCAGATAAAAATAGCAAATCGTTATTTTTTCCTACTTTTTGGTACTGTTTGTGTGAAAGCAATATGCTTTGTGATTCTAAACCCAAAATCGAATATTGATATCGAATAACAGTATACAATTCGTCGTAAACAGTCTTCTGAAAAAGTTTCTTTGGGCCTCCATTGTATGTTTTTCCTACTGTGACTTCCTGGTATGTCGACCAGCATGGAATATCAGTAACATAATGGAAAGCACGAAAAAATAGTAATTCTCCTTTTGGACATTTGTTGACTCCCAGGTAAGTAAATAACTATATTTTTTTAATAATCTTCTAATATTCTAATGTGTAGAGCATGAATATCCGAAGAGTTAATGAGGGTTACAGTATATGTACAAGACGTAATAATGGAAGGCACCGACTTACTAAATCCATTATTAAACGATAGTGATAATTATCATCGAAAACGATACTGAAGGTCGGTATTACATCGAAAAACTGACTCTGACGCAGCTCAATATTTTTGAGTGTGAAGCAAAGAACATGCAAGGAATAATAATAATAATAATCAAATTTATTGACCAAAAAACAGATACAAAAGGAAAGAAAGCAAAAGGGAACCGAATCAGTTTTTCCAATGATCTTCAAATTTTGATGGAGAATTCAACAAATGTTATTGAGCAGTAGTATATTTCACAAAGTCGCCGTATCAGCATGGAACATGCACCCCCACATGCACCCAAACTGATTGAAATTTTCAAACATCCATTTTTCATCATACGCGTTTACAACAAAGTTAATCAAAAAAAAAATAGTTTTCATCTCATATTCAAATTTGAAAGAATCATAACATTTGATACTGATATTCAATAATTTTAGATATATCTTTGAATTTATTTTTTACATTAAAAAATATTTTCAAATTTAAAAGATTTTTTTTATCAATTGAGACAAAGCTTTATTTCAGAAAGACTTACATTTCAAAATTGAGATTTCTAAGATGATTGCAGAATAGGGAATTGTAAGTTAAATTCCAAATATTACAAATATAAATATTAATTACATAAATATATCTAAAAATTAATTTTCATTTTTGCAGAGGTTTCATAGCAATATTGAAATTGCATGAAAAGTCTTAAACACTAGCTAATGTGAGTAAACATTTTAAAAATAAGTAGAAAAAATTTAAAAATATTTGTATCAAGCTAATACTTTTGCATTTTTTCTTCTGAATTTTCGCATTTAAAAGAATAATTTCTTTATCAATTCAGATAAACCTTTATTTCAGAAAGACTTACATTTAAGTTTCAAATATTAAGTTGAATTTCAAGATGATTACATAAATTATTTTAGATATAGATATACTTATATAGAGTCTAAAATACTAGCAAATATTTAGTAACTTCTTAAATTCTAATGTAACCTATTTTCGTCATTTTGTAACCTATGTCCGTGTTTGTTAGGATCCTTCAATTCATCTTTTTCTTAACTGCGCTTTAGTTCTTAGATATTCTTTAGATATTTGCGTCCTAGAAAGTTATATTTGGTTTACTTATATATACTAAAAAAATAATTAATGGTAAATTACTTGGTTTGACTTGGTTTTAACAACATCACTGGATATATTATTAGATATTTTAGGTATGATGCAAGTCTTCAAAATAAAGAAAAAATTGTACAGATTGCAATCGTCTAAGACAAATGTATATGTTAAAAATGTTTAACTATTCTCATAAATTGAATTTAATTCTCTCATTTCTTTTATTTTAATTATATAGTTAATTTTTTATAATTAATTTCAGATAGGCTTTTTAAATATCACTTGTTGATATTGTTTACTTTATTATTATGAATATATAAATACGTTTTAATTTTTTTTAATAAGTGAAAAATATGTTTAGTATCTTAACCCGTGTTAAAATTCTAATTAACGTAATTGTTATAAACTTTGAAATATATTTTTAAATATGTTTTTCTTAAATAAATAATTTAAAAATATTAAGTTATATAAACTATTTAATTATGTTTTTTAAATTATGTTTTACGTTTGAAAATATTTCTTAATAAATTTCTTATTTTTTCTACAACAATGAGCGGAAATTTGTTGTTCCAAACTTCTTTAACAATTAATCGTCAAATAAATGTATTAATGTGATTGAAAAATAATGTAAAACGATCAATCTCAAGAACATTACCTTAAAACAAATGGATGAAATTTAATTTTGAGCAAATCTATTAAATCTAATAAAAACTGTTGAAATCCTTGAATTGGCGAATCGATATAAATTTAGTACTAAGAAAACGTACATTGTATTACGTCTTACTATGAAGAATAATTTTGCAAAAACCTAAAGAGTTGAACTTTGTTAATAATGTTTCATTTACATATTGTTTGTAATTGAACATTGTAGTGCTTTTATTAATAAAGCTTGTGGACTTGGCAACATTGCTGACGCTGATTTTCTATTAACCGCCACAATTTATAGTGCTGGTTTATTTACATTTCGTCCCTTCATCGTAAACAGTCTTCTCCGGAGGTTTCTTTGGGCCTCCATTGTATGTTCTTCATACATTTGAAGAGGGTTTTCAAAGTTTGCTGCCATTTCTTATTTTTTTTTTAATAAATTAGCAAATAATATCCACTGCAAACAGTTGATTTATTTGTGAATATATTTTGTTATTTTTTCGTGCTTTCCATCAGTTTTCATGATGCACGAAAAAATATTAATTCTCTTTTGAGCATTTGTGGACTCATAGGAAAGTAAATAACATTTTATTTTAAATAATCTTCTAATCTTCTAATGTGTAGAGCATGAATATCCGAAGAGGTGATGAAGCTTACAATATATGTATGAGTCAACATACGACGTAATGATGGAAGGTACCGACGCAGTAAATCCATTATTAAACGATTATATCATCGATAAAGACGCGGAAGGTCGGGATTACATCGAAAAACTGGACAAACTGACCCTGACGCTGCTCAATATTTTTAGAGTGAAGCAAAGGACATGGGAATTGATATTTCAAAATGCTCTAAGACAGCGAGGAAAGATATTAAAATTTTCATGGAGAATTCAACAAATCTTGCAGAGCAGTAGTACATTTCTCAAAGTCGCCGTACCTGCATGAAACACCAACACCAAAACTGATATAAATTTCTAAACATCAATTTTTCATTAAACGCGTTTACATATTCAAATATGAAAAAATCATTACATTTGACATTGATATTCAATAATTTTAGGTATATCTTTGAATTAATTTCTTACATTAAAAAATATTTTCAAATTTAAAAGAAGATTTTTGTTTGTATCAATTGAGATAGCTTTTAAGAACATCATGGAAATATTCAGGGCCGTGTTGTAGATTTTATTGGTATGATGCAAGTCTTCAAAATATGTATGAGCGAGACGGCAATCGGGCAGCACTGTGATGGGGCGTCAACCCTTACAGTGCTGGCACGGCCTCGTGTATACTGTTATTCGATATCAATATTTGGGTTTAGAATCACAATGCATTTTTATATTGCATTCACACAAAAAAAAGCAGTACCAAAAAGTAGGCAAAAATAAGGGTTTGCTAGTTTCAACTGAGCTATAGAAAGATGTACGTTTAAAAAAAAATAAAAAATTGTACAGATTGCAATCGTCTAAGAGAAATGTATATATTAAAATTATTTAACTATTCTCATAAATTGAACTTAATTCTCTCATTTCTTTAATTTATAGGCTTTTTTATTATATAATTAATGTTCTATAATTAATTTCAGATAGGATTTTTTAATTATCTCATGTAGACATTTTATCATTATTATGATTATATAAATATGTTTTAGTTTTTTCAATAAATGACTATAAATAAGTGAAAAAATGTTTATTATCTTAACCCTTTATCTGAGTAATGAGTTTTAAATAAATGCAAAGACAATTTTTATTTTCTTTATTTTACCTATATGCAAGTAACTAAAGATTAAAATATACTAATATACAAATTACTAATTATATTTGATAAAACTTACAAAATTTTAATTAGCATAATTGTTGTTATCTTTGAAATATATTAGTACTATTTTCAAACGTATAACTTAATTAAAAGAAACGTAATTATATTAATTAGGATTTTATAATTTCATATTTTGTATCTATTAATTACAAATAATATAAACGTTACAAAATAGTGATTTCAATTACATATAGGAAGAAAATAAATATTTTTACACTTATAATAAAAAAAAAATAGAAAAAATTAACTATAGCAAAAGACTGTTATTGTCCATAAGTCCTTCCGCCCATTGCTATTTTAGTAACTCCAAATTGTATTCTCTTTTAATTTTTCATTTAACTTCTCTCGGATTTCTTATTGGTACTGTTTTTATGTATGAGTTATTGTAAAAAAAAATCTGTATGATACGAGCCAAAAACGAAATCAAAATCCGAAACTCAAAATATTAGTACATTCCTAACCATCATGTTATTAAAAGCTGTAATCCTCATCGGGGCATTATTTGCCTGCCAAGTATGTAACTAACCTATGTTATTCTCAAATTAACTTCCAAATTTCAATTATCTAGGGTGCTTATTCGCAAAAGCAGGCGATCGATTTATTAAACGAAATATCAAAACCTCCGATACTCAAAGCGTTACAACCGTTCCCGAATAGAATTAAAGTTTATTCGCCCATCTCTATAGAAAGAGGTTATGAATTATGGATGGATAGACCCACGAAAGATATCCAAGAAGACGACGACTTTGTAAACGAAATTATGAATGTTCTCGGAAACGACGGTTACCACAACCGTGATGTTTACTATAAAATAACAGATGACTGCCTCAAAAAAAATAACGAAACATGTGTTAAACATCATGTAGATAATAATAATTTCACAGGAAAATACCCTAATAACTTTTTGACAATCTTCAATGATAATAAAATCAATCCTGATGATATTGAAAATAATATGAATATATGCATCGACCACGTCAATGCTTCTAACGTTTCGCAAATGATCGTTATAGAATTATCTAAATGCGTTAAAACCGCAGTCAAATAATGCATTTTAAGATATTTTTCTTTCACTTTCTTTTTTTATTCCATATTTTAACAATTGTGTATGTCAAGTAACATATTAACGTAATTATACAAAAAAATTAAATAACTAATTTTAATTTTAACATTTCTTTTAAATATTTTTTTAATTTATTCATTATTCACTATTTTTAATTAATTAAAGCTACAAAATATGTATCTTCCAAAATTAATGCGTTAATTGTTTATCATTACTTTTATATATTTTCTGTAACCTTATAATTATTTTATAAACTGTGCGTGTATTTTTTTAAATAAATGATTTAAACAACTGTTTTTTTTTATTCTCGTGTAAGATTATTACTTAAATTATTTTTGTTCTCTTCAAATATTACTATTAATAATTTAAATCATTTTTCGGTAAGTTTTACACTTTTTGTAATTATGTGTGTATCTTAAATAAATTACTTTAAATTAATGAAAAAATAGTTACAGATTTTTTTATTAAATTTTACGTTTAAAAATATTTCTTAATTTATTTCCATTTTTTTTTACCAAAGTATGATACAGCGTAAATTTCATGGTCAAAACTCTTAATAATAATGATTCGACTTACATATATAGATTCAAAATCTTATACATTAAAAAATTAAATAATGTCAAAATACTTAAAAATTATTGGTGGCATTCGAAATCCCGTCCGAAAGGATCATTTATGAAAACGCGAATTACACGGTTTACTTCAGAACGATTGAAATTTTCTAACTTTTCAGCTGGTCAACAGATGTCACCAATATAGATTCCGTTTAATTTACATTTTATACAAATTGGAGTGATTCTTAACCACATATATTACGTGTTTACATTGGTAACAAATATTTAAATAATGAACGACATCATAAAAAATATCTAATATTTCTATTTTATGTCTCTGAAAATATATTTTTTTATATGATTATTTTCATATGATTTAAATTATTAACTATGTCAGGATCAAGTTTTCCTAGGTTTCTTTAGACCTCCATTGTCTGATCTTCGTACATCTAAAGTTAAACTATGCTGTATTTTCTTAAACTCTTTATAATATACCAGCGAATAATAACAACGTTTTTGTTTTGATTTATTCGTGAATAAATTTTGTCAAAAAGTCACCACGTTTTGTGCTGGAGAACCAAATCGTAAATATCGAATCAGTACACTTTCCATCATGTTACTAATTAAGTGCAGTAATTGCCCTTTAAACGTTCGTTGTCAACCAATTATATAAACAACAATACTTTTTTAAAAGCCTTGTTGTCATCTTCTATTATTCTAATAATTAGGAACGTGTATGCCAAAATATTAATGGAGAATTGAACACATGTTGTTGAGCAATGCGTTTCTCAAGGTTTTCATAACAAATTCGAATTCGGATGAATAGAACAGTTTAAAGATCTCAAACATCAAATCTGCAAAGATTTGTAATCATGCATTGATATGGGTGAGGAAAATTCGTTAAATATTGAGAAGTACCATAATAATATAACGCATCAGGCCTGTTTCAAAGAAAAAATAATTACAAGTCAAGAAATTATAACTATTTGCGTTAGTATCTGTCATTTTTATACTTTTTCATTGAATGAACTAAAAAACATTAAAAGAATTGTTTAAATAAAGTAAGAGAAATAAAATTATTTCGTGTCATTACAACATTTGCTTCATTAACAGAAATTACATTTGCGGAATATTACTAGAAAATGCATTATTTGCGCTTATCGATAAACCAAATAATCTATAATCTGATATAATACTCCAAGATTTTATCGATTAGTCGGAATGAACTTGGATTTTTGAGATCCAGGAAAAGTGCTAAAAATACTAGTTCAATGCTATATAAATAGGTAACAATTTAGTTATCAAATTAGTACATTTCTAACAACCATGTTATTCAAAGCTGTAATTGTTCTCGGGGCTATAGTTGCCTGCCAAGTAAGTATCTAATTAATTATTTTAATAAAAATAAACTATATATATTTCTCAATTCAGGGCGCTCCTTTCTACCCCCAAAATGCGGAAGAAGTAAGAACAGCAATTGATTTGTTCCGTGAAGCATCAAACGCTGCAATGGTAGAAGGATCCAAAACACTGAAACCTTTGCTTGATGAAATCGCAGTTTCCTCCGTCGCAGCAGAAGAGAAAGGTCACGAACTTGTTCATGAAACAATGCAGTTGGCCTATAGGCAAATCAATTTGTCCGAAGAAGAAGCTAACAACGAAGGAATCGATGCTTACGTATGCATTGATGCTGCAAGGGAAGAACTTCCAATTTTATTAAAACGTTTATCCAAAATGGTTATGGACTGCGGTTCGGATGCTCGTCGTGAAAGCAACGGACTTGTAAATGAAGTCTTGGAAACTAGTGGAAGCGAAGCTTACTATAAACGCAAAGGTTATTACAATGAAATGGATATTTGCATCAAGCAGGAGAACGAGGCATGCTTGAACGATATATTGGCTGTTGTTAATGAGGATACTCAAGTATTCCCTAAAGAACTTCTAAAACGCTTCGATCAAACCGAAAGTTCTTTGGGAGATGTCGAAAAAGATATGGATAAATGCATCCAAAACGTGTATGTTGAAGCTTCCGATTTAACGGAAAAAGTCGTCATTAATATGAATGAATGCATCAAAACCCTAATTCCATGATTTATAACGTGGTCTAAATAAACATAAAATAAATATACATAAAAAATGTACTTTAATTTATCCATCAATTCCCTATGTTGTTTAGTATCAATCCCAATATTATATAATTTATATTGTAAAGTCCTAAAGGTTTTTTAACTGAATGAAATTCCAAACCATTGTTTGTTAGATCCAGAATAAATTTATTCTGGATCTAACATTTGCGGACGAGCAGCGGATATAGCTGTCCTATTCTTTACAACAAAAGACTACGCTTCTTTGAAAGTCATCTGAGTTGGCGCACACATCGAATCTTAATACAAAACAACAACATAATAATACTCAGCAGTTTCGCAATAAACAGTTAAAAATGCGACCTTAAAAAATATCCGTTTACAAAGGGTTAATATAAACAATTCTCATTGTATCAAATTTTATATTCCTCTCGTTTTAAATAATTGGAGAAAGAAACCACAAATGCTAGTTGCAATAATAACAAATAATGTTGTTCTAAGAATATCCACTAATTGGAATTTCCATTATTCGTTATATTTAAAAATAAATAAAAATATTTTGTATTTAATAAATCATCAATAATCTTTCTTAATCCACAAGTAACAATCCATTTGTATATTACAGTTAATCTATATTTTATATAATCAATATTGTATTAATACAATCAAAATCAAAATCAAAATTTTAAGTTTTATTTAAAATTATTAATATTCAATGACCTTCAATTAAATTCCTTTCTTGAAGACGTGCGTCAATTTACAAAAAAAATGAACAATTCAATAACGATGTAAATGGATTGATGGGAAGTTAATGTAATTTTACCAATGGAAGAAAATAATTACAAATAATTTTATTAAAAAAAAAGTTAAATAACCGGATGTATCTTCAGTATAAAAGATTTCCTTGGTTGGTGAATGATCATAACGTATTTAACAATCATGCAACTACCAACTGTGCTTGTCATTGTATCTTTAATTTGTTTTCAAGTGAGTTTTCAAATTAATTTCTCGATAATATTAATAAGAATGTACCGTGTTTTTAGGATGCATTTAGTCAAGCACACAATGCAGATGATGTGCGTCAAGCGATCGCTCGGTTTCGTAATGCGTCAAATACTGTGTTGGAAGAAGGAACTCAGCTACTGAAGTCTTCAGTTGCTGAAATTGAAGTATTATCGTTTGCAGTTGTAGAAATTGGTTTTATAAAAATTAATGCGTCATTGGCATCAACAAACAAACAGGTTGACCTTGAATTAAACAAAGGTGTTTATGTTACTAAATGCGTTCATGAAGCCAGAGCTAATCTTTCAAGTCTAATAAAGAATCTCAGTAAGCTTATCAACAACTGTGGTGAAAATGCTCGACATGAAATTAATATAGTTAATGATATTTTAAACTATTTGTCCATTGATATTAACCTGATTATTGATAATTATTATGAAAATATAGATGTTTGCATTGAATACAAGAACGAAACTTGCTTCAATAAACTTTTAACAGGAATCAATGAAAATTCTGAACTGTATCCTAAAGAGCTTTCAGCTCGTCTCAACCTAACCTCAACTTCTTTAGAAGACATCAAAACTGATTTGGGAAAGTGCATTGCAAATACTGATGATAAAGCTTCATTTGAAACGAAAAAAATCGTCAATAACATGTCTGAATGTATCAGAGGTATTTGAAAGTGTTGTTATTTGTATTTAAACTTATATAGTTTAAAAATATTAATATTTTACATTATATATATTTATTATTGATTTTAGTATACTAAATATTTACTTTAATTAATTTGTATTTAAATGTTATATAATTACTGATTATATACTTTTACTTATATCAAAAGTTTTTTTTGTTATACTTCGATAAAAGACAGTTTAGTTTTGTTGTTCAGGTATAATAAAAATAGATTTCTACGTAACTGCTGATAGCTATAGTATCTGTAATCTTGCATGGATTATATAAATTAAAGAATCAAAAAGAAACTAGTTTTTTTAAATAATTATGTTATCTCTTTTCCCGTATTCTTTAAATCGAAGTTATTTTTGGTTTTCAACGACATAATAACTGTAGAAAAACCCAGTATATAAAGCTTCTTCTAATTGGTAAGTAATCAGTACACCTACAGACATGTTTTCAAAAGCAATTATTGTTTTCGCCGCCTTAGTTTCGTGCCAAGTAAGTTTCTAATTATTTTATTTTAAAAAATATATATATTTGTAAAAACCTAAAACTTTTAGGGTGATTATCTTAGAAATAAGGAAGCAGTAGGACAATCTATCGATCTATTCCGAGAAGCTTCAAACAAAGCAATGATCGAAGGTTCCCAAAAACTGAATCAGTTGGTTGTTAAAATCAACATTTCTTCCACCGCAGTTGAAGAGAAAAAACTTAAAAAACTGGATAAATCTATTATTTTAGCTATAAAGAAGATTGATATTTTAGAAGAAGATGCCAGCAATGAGGGAATTGATATTTCCGAATGCGCTAAACATGCAAGAGCAGATCTTGCAACTTTATTGGTTCATCTTAACAAAGCAGTTAAGGATTGCGGATCTAAAGCACGCAAGGAAAGTAATAAAATGGTAAATGAGATTCTTGACTCTTCTGGAAGCGAAGCTTATTACAAACGCGAAGGTTTCTCTAGTCAAATGAGTGCTTGCATGAAACAAGAAAACGAATTGTGCTTGAATAATCTTTTGGCTGTAGTTAGTGAAAATGTCAAAGAATTTCCGAAAGAGCTTAAAAAACGCTTCAATATAACTGTAACTTCTTTGAATGATGTAGAAAAAGACATGGATAAATGCGTTGACAACGTTGATAATGACGCATCAAAATTAATAGAAAGTATCGTAATCAAAATGTCTGAATGCTTCAAATCCAGAAAGGAATGGTTAAAAATAAATCATTAATTTATCTGTGTTATATGTAGTAAAACTTTACAAATTTATAAATAAAATATTTATAATATCGATTTCTTTAGAAATAATGATATTATTAGTTGCATCAATCTTTGCGTATTTCTTTATTGTCCAAAGAATTTTCACTACTTGTTTTCCCAATAAGTTATAAAATAAGAATTAATGCAATTTAGTAATTGTTTTTTGATTGTCCTCTGGGCTATAATTGCTGTTTCTAATTAATAAATAATTCTAAATCCAGGGCGTTTCATTTTATTTAAGCGAATATTGAAAAACTTAATAAAGAAATCGCTTTGTTTTGTTAAAAATCAACAACTCTAAGATTCGATGAATTAATAAAAATTTGTAGTTTGTCAATTGATCCCTGATTCAAAGCTATAAAATTTCTATTATAAACGAGCTAGTCGACTAATATAGGCCTTGTATGAGCAAGTCGATATATCGCAAGAAGAAGCTAACCACAAAGGAATTGATATTTCTGCAGTTCTGATTATCGTAAAAATGAACTTTTATTGAAAACTCTGCAAACTAAAATATGAGACTTCACTCAAATCACAATACCTTTAAGTGCTATCAAAAGTAATGATACTAAGTGCGCTAGAAACGTTCATAAACTTTGATAATTGTAGAAAAGGTAAAAAAAATATTTATGATTCTTAAGACAACGGTTTTTAAATTTTCTTTAACTGCTTCATTTAAATAGGAAAATAAATTTAAAAAAAAATAGGGCAAAAACACTTAGGTCGATTTATTCACAAACTCAATAATTGTCCTTTTTATTATCAGAAAATTATCATTATTAGAAACTGTAGTTGTTGTTCTATGTTATAATAAATTTCAGTTTTTTAACTCCTAAATTACTATAAACTAATTATTTTAAATTATGTACTGTATTCTTACCAGGTATTTCACAAAATTGTCCTATCTGCGCTTTCTATTCGAACTCTTCCTGAAAATAAAAAAATATAGATTTAAATTAAGTCACCTCTTCAATCCCTCTTGTCAATAACTTTAGATCTTTATACTATAAAAGGTTGCAACGGTCTTAAAAGGGTTTTAATTATATGAGTTATTTATAATTTTAAGATTATGCAACAGATAATAAAAATTTTCGACTTATTATCTTATTAACGAAGTATTTCTGCTATTTAATAATCATATAACCGTTAATTTTCAGTAATTATTTGTAAGTTTTAATATAATTAATAATTTTCAAAAATAACGTCAATATTCACTTATAAATTAATGACAAGTAAATTATTTCATTTCATTTTAAAGAGAATATTACAAAAACATAATAATATCATAAATTATTATTTATTAATCAATAAAAATAAATTATTTATTTATTTTTGTAATCTTTATAAATATCATTTTATTATATTCATCAACATTAATTACAAGCTTAAAAGTAAATTAATTGCATGTGATTTAGTAGAGAAAGATACTGGGAATTGTGAATTTTAATAATAAGACTATAATTTACTTTAGTTTGTTAACCGTTCGACAAAAACAATCTGATAATCACGTTTCTATAAGAAATAGTCGTTGAATATTCAATAATAAGCAGTTAAATTATACTTTATGATTTCCAGAATTCCATATGTAAATTACCGAAAATAAACAACCGGTTTATAGTCTTACTATAAAGGCGTCTCTTCATGACCAAGTGACCAGTGCATATTCAACCATCATGCAATTACAAACAATCCTTGTTCTTGTGGCCTTAGCAGCCTTTGATGTAAGTAATTATTTTATTTTATAATATTCTTCTAAAGTTATCATTTATAGAGCGCATCTGCTTATCCACAAAACGCCGAAGAAGTGCGAAGCTCCATCGGAAAATTTCAGGATGCAACTAGCTCTGCTTTAGCCACAGGATCCCAAAAACTGAAAACTTTAATTGCTGAAATTGAAGCCGCTTCAGCTTCGGCCGAAGATAAATCGTTGAAGAAACTGGATGAGCTAAAGACATCGACGAATACGCAAATTGTTAAATTGGAACAGACTGGTAAAAATGATTGTGTGAAAATTGCTAAAGCAGATTTGACAACTTCTTTGGATGGTCTTAAGAAGCTCATCAAAAACTGCGGTTCCAATGCTAAGAGCAAAAGCAATCAACTTTTGGATGAGGTTCAGAATACTTTAGGAGGTGATGCGTACAGGGTACGTGCAGGGTACTTCAATCAATTGGATGCTTGCATTAAAAAGAATAGCGAATCGTGCTTGAACGATCTTCTCGCTGTTGTTAAGGAAAACACCAAAGTATACCCTGAGGAGCTTCTGAAACGTTTTGATCCAATCGCACTCTCATTAAGTCAAATCAAAAGTGATGTGGATAAATGTTTGTCTAATACTGATAACGAAGCTACAAATGCTTCAAACAAGATCATCACTCAATTGAACGAATGCATTAAATCAAAGTAATTCAATTCAGATATTAAAATTTTTATTAATTACATATGATTATATAAGGATAAATGTAAATGTTTTGATCTAAATATATTAATTATATTATTTTCATAAAATTATTTCCTTTATTGGCTCTAATGTGGGCCAAAAAACAAACAACCGAAGTGTTTCTGTTATATAATTATTTTTACATTTCATGGAATATTAAAATAAAATATAATTAACAAACACTTATTTCAATTTAAAAATTATATTATTACCTACATTAAACTAAATAAATAAAATGATAATAATAATAATGTTTATTGCATCAGTCGTACAAAAAACATATACAGAAATAAAAAGAACAAAATAAATATATACAATTTCAAAAAAAGTTAACTGATACAAAGGGCTATTGGCCATAGTTCTTTCTGCCCGGGGAATAATAATATATAGTACAAAAAAAAAACATGAAAAAAAATCCAAAATTATAACAAAATCCTTCAAGTTGATAAAATGTGTTCACAAAGAGTCGGAAATCCGATCACAGACCTACTCTCAACGTGCAAAACCGGTAAACTGTATCGAGATTGGAAGGTCTGAAGTAAAACTTTGCGAACGATGCGTTCCAAAATGGGTGTGACCCCAATGCACTCATACAGTAGCTCGTTGGGAGGGAAACATTATATTAATTTATATTTGGGTTAAGTTAATGAAATTATTATCAAAAATGCTAACATACTTCATAGCTTATTGATATTATTATAAACTTTGTAGTATTGTTACGAATTTTATATTTTTTTATTCATTTTTGTATTAAAAGATTCTATTTATTTGATATATGCATTAATATATGCACTAATAAACCCTCAAAAACAGTTTTTTTTTTATCAATTTATTAATCGACCTCAAACACTATTTGTATCTATTTATAAAAAAAAGTATATCTAAAATTTGATAAGGTATTTGTGGATTATATAAACACAATAGATTATATCTATTCGATGATTTTTGGGAAAACGGAAAACGACATATATTTATTTTGTAGAAGTGAAATCCGTTCTATATAAAATTTGATTAGGTTCATTCATCTGCTTATTCGCAGAACACTAAAGAATCTTGACATTTGATGACAGATTTCCAAAAACTCAAATGGTTGTTATCAATGTTCCTCAAAGGTAATTAAAAAACAATCAAAACATTCACGTAGCTGAGAGGATTGAGGTTTAAACAAAATATTATTGTATGTATATAAAGGATATATATATATATAAATACATAATGAGCAGAAGATGACAAACATTAAATGTTTCATGTTCGGTAAGTAATAACTCGCATAATCTATGTTATCGGACTGTTTGAAACCGGACTAATCGAGGAAATATGTATCGTATAGTGCATAACTTTAAAATCACATAAAAATAAAGAGAAAAATTGATCATTTATGTATTAAAAAAAAATTAAATTTTGTATACCAATTTTAAAAAATGTCAGACCGGTTTATAGTGAAACCAAACTTAACTAACACGTATATATTTTTGATCATAAAATGATGCTTATCATATTGTTTTTATTATTTGACTGAAGACTACTATAATTCTTGTTCTTCTTCCTATTGGAGGCTTTCGTCTCACCTAATGCACTTAGTCTGTATCGAACTGACACAATTTTTTCAGTCACAGTGAAGGGAGTAGAGATTTAAAAGAAAAAGAAGAAACCTTTGTGCTTTAAAATTGGACAGATTCTATAAGACAACTCGGGGGTTTCATCGACTTTGATGACAAGAAGATTGAAGGAAATTCGGGTAGACAATTTATTTTGGAAGGACTGCTATAATTATTTCATAAATAACATCATAAGTATAGGCAACATATCATACGTGGTGATATGTTGGAAAGTTCCTTTTTTAAATTGGTTAAGCTATATAAAATGTATTTATTAACGGTCTTCTCATTAGATTGATACACCGATTTTGAACGTTTTAGTTAAAAAAAAATAAATCTAGTATTAGAACTTCTTATATGTAAAATCGTTTGCAAATCTAAATCAGGATTCGGCAACATTTTTTGAGCAAAAAGCCATTTTTAAAATACACGTATCACTCGTTTTACACGCTACTCTTTTTTACACGTTTTAGAAAAAAAAATTAACTGAAGATCATGGTTGATTAAACCAGTAATTGTGACAATGATGCTCGAACAAAAATCAATTGCAAAGGACTCGAATTGGGAAGAAAAATTCTATTCCAGAAAGCCATTTTTAAAATACACATATCACTCGTTTTACACGCTACTCTTTTTTACACGTTTTAGAAAAAAAAATTAACTGAAGATCATGGTTGATTGAACCAGTGATTGTGACAATGATGCGCGAACACAAATCAATTGCAAAGGACTCGAATTGGGAAGAAAAATTCTATTCCAACGTGATATTAATCACAGCTTGGCTCAATATGATGAGGTCTATACAAATTTAACAAGAAAGAAAATGTTAATAACGGATTTCATTACCAAATCTCCTCGGAGTATAAATATTTCTACTTCAAACATCAAATCAGCACAAAAATTTCGACTTATAGAAGTGACATCGAACCAATCACGAAGAAGAGATTAACAGTGATTAATGATAGTGATGAATGCTATCAACCTTTACAATATTTCTTTTATGAATCTTTTAGATTTTATTTTTGTATTCATTTGTATTTTGTTTTTAATTAATAAAAGACTTATTATATATTTTTGCCTTTCAATATTTTTGTTTGATAAACAATGAAATTTTTCGATTTATACGTTTTTCTCAGGAACCTATCTACCGTTAGGTTAGAAGTATTGACTTTAAAAAAAAATGTTGATTTTTTCAGAATGGGAGCTAAGAGCCGCAATTTCTCATCTAAAAAGCCGCATGAGACTCCAGCTATTGCATGAAATACTTCTTTTAAATATTCATTCGCTTCTATTGAAAACTACATACTAAAATTGTTTCATTAGATTAAAACCGATAATTAAATACTTTTGTAATTCTTTTCATATATTTTAACTACAATTAGGAAAATGTTTCACAAATTATAATATAAATAAATATTATTTTATTAATATAATTTATTATGTATATATGTTTATTTAAACATTATAAAAATTAAATTAAATAAAAAATTAATACATAATTTACTAACATTGAAAGGATGCATGTTATTTTCATCAATCTTAAAAAAATATTAAGTATTTGATTATACTAAAAAGGAATTGTTTAGAGTATAATATAATAATAATAGAGAAAAGTTCTAGGAAGTCATGATGCATATCGAAATGTAATTTGCTGCAAGTTTCTATTAAAGGAAGATGCACGTTACAAAAATAAATAAACTTTAGTTCTTCCATAATAATGCAAAACAAAAATGCTTTTGGTAAACTAATTAAATAAAATTCTTAATGGAATAATTTAAGCAGTTATAAAATACTCAATTTGTCGCTATAATTAATAAAGAAAGTAATAACAAACTTCGATGCATTTAAAGAAGTAATGAGAAAAGTAAAAGTTCGGATTGAAACGATTATATGCGATGTGATTAACTGTTTCATTAAGTGCGGTTTGGAAAAATCGTTTTAAAATAAAATGTAAACAATAAAACGACCACAGAAGAACCGCATCGATAATGATGATGTGTAGAAAAGCAATAAAAAAAGTAACTAGAATTCGCGGTATCTTCAATCAAGGAATACAGCGTTCCAAGATGTGGAGATAATTTAGTGGCTGTAGGAAATTGGCAAACGGTCGATGCAGACGAAGAATAATAGCGAGAAGATCCAAAGAAACTTTCATATTTGCACGTTACGATTGGATTGTCGGAAGTTTATATTGGAGCTGCGCTCTCAGTCAGAATTGATCATATCTAGTAGTTATTGTTACAAGAAGACTACGTCCCGAGGATTCGAAATATCTGTATGAGAATTAATTTCACCTCCCCCGAACGATTATCAAGCAATGATTTCCTTTTCTTTTAAGTTTTGTTTCTATGAGCATTTCGTTTCCGAAATGCACGTGAAAGTTGCATGCAATTAAATCGCCGCTCCAGATTTCCATAACCTCTTCATCCCGTCGAAGCACGCGACGGCTTATGTAACCTTAATACAGTTTTAGTCGCATCTGTGACCTGTGACCCCTCTGAGAGGAAGGCGCTCGGGCGGAAGTAAAAGTAGACCCAACTTGCATAGGTTTCCCATTACGTTAGGAAAAAAAAGACACAAGCTCTTGTCGAAATGTGTAGGAGATTGTGTCGTTCGCACAAAATCGCACATACTAATTACGATTTGAAAGTGCTTCTTCTTCTGTTGCCGTAGCGGCCTTCGCATTTATTTTTCCATCCGCGTCTTCTCCATGAATAAGAAAACGCACATTTGAATTCTTCAGAGATTTCCGTGATCGAATTCAATAAATTCTACAACTTTTTCATTTCAAACGTTGCATTCCAAATTCACCTTCAAATTGTGATTGGTTACCGTAAACAATATTAATGCATAAGATAATTTTATTTTCATAGCTTCAATCATCATATTTACATTGGAGCAAATCAAAAAATGAATCAACAGTTTTGAATTTTTCGTTCTTTATAGTATAGTATAGATTTTATGTAATATCTATTTCATGACATATCTGTAATTACTTTATATTCTTTTTATATTATTTTAAATTTTAACTAAATATTCTATATATTACCCAGTTATTGTATAAAAAAACGTCCTTTTACAATAAAAAGTATAAAATAAATAGAAGTAGGTCAAACAGATCAACAAGTTATAGAGTCATACCTCGATTAAGCGATACATCGTTTTCAGAAGTAAAAATCCTATGGACATAACAGTACTTCTGGTTCTTAATATAATTTCTGCAGAAAATTCGTTAATTACTAACAAAGTTTTGTAAATCTACTGAAAAAGGATCATCTTCTTTGTTATATCGAAGCTTCGTTATCAGAGCTATTAACAGACGTATGATGTATATAGTTACAAAAATTGCATTAACACAAAAAAAAACAAAGTTTGTTTTAATTTCAATTCTACAT